ACGCTACAGATTCCAGTGTTTTCATCACAATTATGCAACTGGTGGGACATACTGGAAAATAATTTGATAGTCCTCACCCCGTCCATGGTGGTCTATCACTTAACTTAACTTGCTGATCATGCTCTGGTATTTAAAGTTCTCTAACCTATACTACCGTCCTCCCGCCAGCGATTTACACAATAGCGTTTCCATCAAATCAATCCTCAGCGAGACAGAACAGACAGTCGTACTACAGACTTTATGGTATGTAGGAGAATTCATTTTTTACACCAGGAAACTTTGTCGTATATAGTCAGATCTACTGGCCCCTGAGATCTCATGGAAAGCATTCGTCTGTCACCCTTTTGGTTAATTATTAAACCCCATTTTTATGTCAAGTATTTTACGTTCACTAATACAAAATGGTGATTTTGGAAAGAGTACTGGAATCCCTAGGCCCTAAATTAACCGGCCCGTAAACATATGGCAACTTATGGCTCTCTAAAAGCTTGTCTATCCCTATTAATCAACTTCAATGAATTCGGGCTCTGTAAATATCCAAGTAGCAATGGTACTTATGTCATCAGATTATGTGAATAAATACAGGTGAGAAGGAAAATGCTACGTTTGCCAGCTATCACGCCGTGAGGATTTCTAACACTGTAGAGTTGTTCATGAATAAAAGTATTTTGATGGACTCAGTTGTGAAGGTGAAATTGAGTGTGCGCGTGTGTCCATGAATGATCTCAACTTCGAACTGAACGGATGTGTGAAAAGCGACTGTCACATTCCCCTGGGACGGATTGTCCAGTAACCGACGCAGGTGGATAGCAAAGCCTACGGACTGAGAACTGGTAATTTACCCGGATATTTGAACATAACTAACTTAGCATTTCAAGGTCTGATTTGAGTTTGACAGTCATTTTAGAACAAGTGGTTTATTGCCTCAGATGAGCATTTCAGCTATTCGCGAAGTCACAACAAACGGTGAACTGGTATATAATATGAGTAGGAAACATTTAAGGGGGAGCATATCGCGAGAAACGAGTAACTGTCACCAATATTCTTGCTGACAAAATCTGTTACTGAACAATGTGTTTACACAAATTCACTCGTTATTAACTCTTTAGTGCAATCTGCTCACAGATTCCAATTATCCCTGTCTAATTACAAATAAAATGTACAATGGAGGGACATGATACATAATTGCACAAATTTGGTGATCCATTGGGTGCTTAGAATGAGAAGTTCTAGAACAAATCCACGACTGAACTAAAGCCAGTTATCAGCCGGTTTTTTCCGCATCTCTGCTAATCTGTTATCATTCGATATACAGAAAAACTTACGGTAAACTTTGTAAACGGTATGACGAACTCACGTTTGTTCAATCCCCATCTATGGAATTATTATCAGTTCTGTTTAAACAGAGCAAAAAAATGCGTTCCACTATGCATCAATCCACAAAAATTTGTGGTCGTAATCGACTGTTGATTATGTTTTGCCTCATTCACCAGGACTGAAGTCACGTCTTGTCAGCCACAATCCACAGCAATAATATTTGCACTCCAAAAAATGAAATATTCGTTGTGTTTTTGTGTTTATCTGGCATATGCTCGGAGGATAACAATACACCTCTAACACAAACCATTCCATTCAGTTTCCACTGTTAACTTTACTTCATGGGAACACTGGCATATCACCGGAGCTTACAACATGAAACAAAATACCAAAATCTGTTACCATGCAAGAGGCCTGATTTTTCGCTAGTTAATTGCAGTTCCCTTCTTCCCTGTTAGTAAGTATGTGTCCTGTACGAAAGTGTTACTGTGGCAGATGGTTACGAGTACTTTCTGCGAATTGGTCATACTGCTAGGGCAGATGAAGACGTATCGGACGATTTTCGTTGATTCACAAAAATGATTACTTGCACATAGAACCATAAATGCGGGACGATGTGTATGAGAGGTGACCAAGACATTTTTTGGCAAACGTTTGCCTTTTTCGCAGTCATACCAGCCTCTAATAACTTATGTAGTTGGTCAAGTGCGTCACGTATGTATTGAACTGCTTTTCCATGTGGCCATAATTAGCCGATGATATCATGCTTTTCTTTATTGTCCATTAGGTTCAATAAGAGGACTTGCGGTTTCGAAATAATCCCCAGGTTAATTGCGAGATAATGAAAAAACGAAAAGGGGACACTTTAACCTTGAAAACTAGGAGCTTAGAGAGGTTGCGAGACAGGCTATCCATTTGGTCTTATATTTTTAGCAACTTGATTAGTTAATTGGTATATGCCACCTAAGCGAAAAGCAGTATTTGATACATAACAACCAAAAGTATGGTTTCGGGAACGAATATCTACGAAATTCCATTCTTCTAAAATTTGTTTGATCTATCTGTTAGTTTTCGCCCAATCGTACCTTTTGAGCAAACGCTGTTAGGCTTGTCAGTGGCGCAAGAAGATGTGAGCATTTCAAATAATATTGCACCCTATCATAAGAGCCCGGATATGCCAAGGGACCGATGAGTGCACTAAAGCTCCTTCATCCCGATGGAGCTTCATTGACAAGGCACATTTAAAAAGGATGGGAAGTCCAGTCCTACTGCTGATCAACCACTCGTAACCGGAGGCTCAATTGTTCAAACTATTAAACGGGGGTGTGTTGGCTTCGGGACTTCGCAGTTTCATAAGTCGCGCACTGCTAATGATCCCAGTCAGCACGAAACAGCTGGGCAGTACCTCCAGGCTTTTTGAAATAGAATCGCCTCACTTGCGGGACAAAATCTCCATTAAAATTTTCGGATCTCTTCCAATGGTAACGTATGAATTTGCCAGTTTGACGACTCTCAGCAGTTAGAATTAGCGGACAGTCTCCTTCCGTCAGCTGTACTAGCAGACATCACTAGAAGTTGATTCAAGTTCAAGGTTGCTCGATAGGTGGTTGGGAATCATAAAGTTACATCCGCTCTACTTCAGCGCATCTTCAAAGAAACTTCTACTTTTGGACTTGGTGAATAACCCATTTGCCGATTATACTAGAAAATATAGGCTAGCGTTGGCGTAAAGAGTTAAACCTGGGCTATTTTTTAATAAACTGTTGAAAACATGAGTGGTCGTATCTGGTCGACGATTTTACAACATTCTCAACTCGCAGAGTTCAATCATTGAGCCAGCCATCGAGGTCCACAACGAATAATTATGATAACTAGTGAGGATTCCCTCAGATTCATCCGTTTATAATGTTGTCACAAGTCAACGGAAAGAATTAAGATAGCAACTGGAGAACCCAATCTAGAAGTACTTTTTGGGAGTCCAAACCATATGGGTCCAGAGATAGATAACCACAAAGGACAATAGGCCAGTGTGATTCTTCATGGTATCTGAAACAACTAGAAAAATATTTCACTTCCGCACCATGGATAGTAGTATGCTAGGTCAAGTTCCGATGTTGGTTGACAGGGAGGAGAAGATGTCCGGTCCTTTTGAGAACTTTTAATTAGGTATATGTGGGGAGCTGTAATCCTGAGCGATATTTCAATATACGATATATGTTCTGGCTGGTGATATGTTTTCTGGCTTACAGCGTAGCAAGTTTAAGAATACTCATGATGCGGGCCTTCTGAAAGCAAACTAAGTTTTAGTTGACTACCGTGGTAAAAGGTAAAGTTATCCGACGGCATTAGCAAAAAATTAACCATAAGCAGCTTTTGAAATGGTGAAGTTTCTTACTGGATAACGAACGACGACTTCGTCATAAGATTTGGGTGACATCTCAAGATTCGCAACAAAGTTGGGACATTGCGCGAAACTACATAACCTCGTGGAGTAAATACCATGGTCACACATAATAATTTCAGATTTTTTACGAAACCATTTTCTAAACATATTTTTGTATTTCTTGAGAAACAGTAAATCACTACCTATTATGAAAAAAACGTACAAGAGCGAATCCTTGTGCTTGAGCTGAAAACAAGATTTTGACTACGATGCCCACTAAATGTTGTCACATCGCTTCCTCTAACTTGGAAAATACACCCATTTATCGTTCATTATATCGTAAGCTTAGCTTTTATTTTGGAAAACAGGAATTAAAGTTTTGGCTTTAGTTTTTGTTTCTTTAGTTGAAAATCGCTTCGTTGAGAAAATTAGTCTAGAACTGTCACCGGAAACATGTACCGTTGGGGCAGTCAAACGCATCCGGAAAAATTGAAAATTGGTCCTATTATGGAACAAGGAAGTTTAATATTCCTTAAGAGCAAAGAAGAGTTGATGTTAAGCTTGAAGTGTGCAACTTGTTTCATGCTGCCAATCGTAAGTAAATAAGGTTGAAATATCGATTCATTTGCGTGTGAACCGCAGAACCAAAGTGCTGCAGCTTAACAATGCTGGCGAAAAATGAGAGTCCAGTTCGTGACTGTGGGTCCGATGAGCGTGTTGCATTTTCAGCATTATGTTCGTCTGCAAGAAATTATATGAAATATGCATTTGATTAAACGCGTCTACACTGTTTGGATTAAGACGTTGACGATGCTAAAGCTGCGGGACTAATAAACGTGCTACCCACCTCGACATTCTTATTGAGTGAGTCCACATAATGTTGGCAACCGATTATTCCCAATTTTATTGAAACAAGACTTAAGCTGTTTTAATTTGCTGTTAAGGAACCAACTAAGTGCCGAATAAGTTACGGCAAGCGTATGGCATTTAATTGGGAGCACTGCAGAGATGATCACCGTCACCGTATGGATTGTAGAACTTGAAACATGTTCGTAGTATAAACGATCGTCAATGCTTGACCTGATTGTCAACAGCGGTTTATCAACTGGTCATTTAGGCATTAAAGTTAATCCGCACACTGACATGAGTAAACCACTGGTGCTACCTATGAAAAGAAGAAGTCCTTTGCTGAGGAGTTCCATCGCGGCGGCCCAGTCCATCTTCCAAGATCCCCTTCTGGCCGCATCCTGGGCCACCTTCGCCCGGCCCCTGAGGAGGGTCTTTAGCGCCGCTAACTTACCCCGGTCGGTATCCATACCAGCAGCCTCCGCGTAGTTCGACACGCCGGCCGACCGCCAGGAGGCTATGAGGCAGTTCAAGGCGGCCAGGATGGCACCCGGATCTGACCCGACCGTGTTCTTCAACGGCCTGCAGCAGTTGTTGGATCGCGCTTTGCCGACGCTGGACGGAGTGTCGCGACGCCAGTTGCTGTCCGACCAGTTCGTCGAAGGTTTGCAGCCGGCGCTTGGTGCCTAGTTGAGGTTGGCACGAGCAACTGGCCAGTTGACTGTGTAGGAGCTACTGCGTCTGACTCGGGAGCTACCCGAGGCACCACTGGCCACGTTGCAGTCTCAGGAGAAGAGGAATGATTCATCATTGCAGGAACTGCAGACCAGAGTTGACCAACTCGCCGAACAGCTGGCAGCCGTGAAGACGGATTTGCGGAGGCACGCTCGAACCAGCTGGTGCTACATGTGTGGCAAGACTGGCCACTGGAAGAATCAGTGTCCCCGTACCCGATCACTTGTACAAAATAAAACTTTAGTGTACTCCTCTTTTCCGATGTGGGTCACGATTAGCGCACTGACACAAGCTACCATACAAGTCATTGTCGAGGTAGACAGGAAAAAGGAGTTATGTTTGATTGGTACAGGAGCAGGCGTATCGCTGAGGAAAAGAGTGAACCAAGCTGAACGCAGACCGTGCGCGCTAGCCGTCAGAGCTGAAGACTGACGGATGGTCAACGCACTCGATACGCCTAGGCGACAAGTCCGTGCAGCATGCGTTCCTGATCAACCCAGACGTAGAACAGACAAACTGCCCCACCGCCTCCACCACCTTTACACCTATAGTGTGCGGAATGAACCCGACGTAAAATCACCGAGTGCCATATTTAGAGGGACCAGTGGCATAAATGAGATGACAAAATAATAGGCCCCCACTTTGGTCCTCTGACACCAAGTCACCGAAATCATTCGCCACAGGACAATCATATTTCAAAGAATGAAACGTTCGTCAGAAATATCGCCATAACGAGTCTGATTGACCCACCCAGTTTTTTCTCTGGTAATGTTGTGAAGTGAGATTTCCTCAGTGAGCTGACGATATCCCCTCAACTTGTGCCAGAGCGTTAGCGAACCAATAGTTAACCCCTGCGAACAGGTCAGCAGTGGGCCCAAATTTTTATACCTATTTCTATAATACAAAAGTCACAACAAATTATTGCTGGTGGCCAATTTCGGCCAAGGATTCAGAAGTTAGGCAGCTGATTTGCGATACCAAATCAGCGATTTGTTCACTGAACTTTGCATCTGAAGTGCGAAGTTTTGTCCTTATTGGACAATATATAATTAATGAGCTGTTTGTCAGGCATTAGCCATGACATTTACATTGCTGTTTTTTTCGAGTTAAGAAGAAAGGTTTGCAATCCAGTCAAAAGAATAAATACGTGCAAATTTCATTGACATAAAGTAAGTTCATTATAAGAGACCAAATGTTTCGTGAACATCTCTAAGTGTATTCAAGACCGGAGCAGGGGCATACCTCTCTAACTGGCCGGGGGATAAATTTCTAGTCCCGGAATCTATGTTTGCAGGTTCTAACGTTGCTTGGTGCAGTATCTTCATCAGCCACATGATAACCATTAGAAAAGCTTATTTAAAAGCTGAAAAATAAGTTTGTCTTCAAAAATAGAACTACCTGCTAATGTCACATTTTCTGGGAATTTATAAGACCCAACACCCCAACCCACAATTTGCTCGACTACCTATAATTTCCGCATAAAAATTCCACGTACATAAAGGATGGATATATGAAGCAAAACACTCATGCCTCTGCATTTTGGGGAGCATCTGATACTGTATGATCCCCAATTTGCGAATTTTCCGTAAGACAACTGGACCTACGTTGCTGCCTAAAACGGTTGGAATTTGAAGTTGCTGAAGTCACTGTTATTTCAAAAATACCTCCCTTTTTGATGTCATTGCTGAATTAGGAATAGTTAAAACACTACCTACTTTACATTATCCCTTTCGGACCCCAAGTTCTGCAGGATGAGACTTTTTGCCATGAGAGACGGCAAGCAGCCTTGCTAGAGTTGCTCCGGTTTACTGTATGGTGCTATGTTGTGCTGTATATAAGTACATTTTGTGCTTCGCTACAGGTACGTTAACATCTTATTATTAACGACTACCAGTCGGCCTGAGTTCAGCCTGAGTGTTCATGTGCTTTTTATTGTCCCGTAGGCTACATATCTCGAGTTAATCGCCCCATCGTAACCTTGCTTCCCAACTGGTCAGTGCGTAAACAATTCGAAACACAACACGATAAGCGTACACTCTCATGGGAGAGTAAACATTTCTTGCGCCAGAAAGTGGGACAAACAACAGGCACTTAAATTAGCGGTTTCAGAAACAACAAAACAGGTGAGAGCCAGTAGGAAACAAAACCAGACATGTGTGCTTCACCAATACAGTTTGTTGATGCACAGCCTAAGAATGCGCGACTTACGTTCTTTAGGTTGTTTTCGAAAAATGGTATATTTGATTCTCGGAGGAAGTAGTAGTGGCTAACTATGAACAACATCAGAAAGCGGAATCTTGCACTCGTAAATTTTTCACAGCACAGGATATTAAATTCTCAGTTGGAAAACTAAGAGTTTCTGACGGGTACCACAGTGGATGTCACAGATTTGTTGAGCATCTTCAGCAGTACGTGCCTCACGAAACTCATGATTTTGAATCCGCGAACGTCCGGCCATAGGGTGAATAATTAACTGTTCGACCTCAAGCGGTTGGTAAGTAGTGTGACTGGTTCCCACTTAGGATAGATTACCGCTCATTGTTTACATCACGCGGTCACGTAGTGTCTGGCTCCTCGAGTAAAGAACGGTTAGACAACGGGACTAAACTCCGACTAAAAATTAAAAAGTTTCCCTTTGCTACGTTCAACGCTCACTAAGCATCAAGCTGAAATTTGTTCTCTTTCGACCAAAAAGTTGCATCCGCAACAGGGCGAAAACATTCAACCTGACAATGGCGAGTTCCGCGCAGTTGTGTTGAGGACATTTTATCAATGTTGGATGTCAGGAACAACAACGCACCTGCGGCAGCAACGCTTCGCCTCAGGTTTAGTCGACTGAATACAGCAAACCTTCACCCATTCATCACAAAATATATTTTTTAATCATTTCCAAAAATGGAGAAGCACTTCCAGGTTTTTCCAGCATTGTCTGAACTTCATCGGTGCATTTAAAGAACAAAGCCACTGCAAAATCAGGGCCATATGCCACCAAGCCCGCAGGCGATCTATAGGACAACAGTCTGCGCCGACCCTGATTTAACCGGATTTTGGTGTGGTCAGCGCAGATTGTTTCAGCGCACAATCTAGTTAAAAAGCCCAACAAGGTGAAAAAAATAAAAAACTGAGACCTTTTTGCCTCACAGCGTTCCACAATCAGATTCTCGCATAAGTCTTAACTGAGATTGCGAATTTAACACTTTGCAGTGTCGCAATATGGGAATCTTCCGAATTAGTGTAATGTCTGCGTTATAATTCTAACATTCTACATCTACCATCGTATTTGAGGATTACTGCCACTTAAACCCCATTTAAGCTTTCATTTTTCGAAGATAGCGTCGAAAAGATGCAGAGCTATTTCTGCCGCATGATGTTTCTTCAGGGGAGATCAATAAAAAAAACCGCGTTGAACGCTTTCTGCAGACTGGGTCAATGACTTTTGTTGAACTGATTCCTTTCAAACAAATTGTACGAGGATGTAGCGAAATGTTTCTTTCTGTTTTGAATGAATGTCCAGACTTTGCACTGCTATTAGAAATTACATATGCAACAACACAGCTAATTAATGACGGGTCATTTCCTAAGCAGCGTAGAATTGTCATAACCAAAATGCAGTTTTTGACCAATCAGGATAAAATGGGCAAAGGTACACGACCGTAAATCTAATTCGGAGCATGCTTTCCGATCTATTTTTGAAAATTTTGACAACTTTTCGGACCTTTTTAATAACCCGCCATTCTGTATACACTATGTGAGGAGACTGAGAAGAAAAAATCTGGCAAGTGACTCGATCGCTGGTTTACAAGCCATGATTAAGACCCACATAACCGCATACGAGTATTGTATATCCTCTGGTTTGTTTCTTTGTCATACGGCGTTGTTTAGAATGATAGCATCATTTAGTCAGCTAGAGTATTTTACTGTACAAAATGGAGGTTCCTGCGTGCTACGCTAAACACAAATAAAACTTTTCGTTCTTTGTTGGGGCACTCTTCCACCGACTGTGTTGTAAACTGAATCCTTCCTAACAAAACTGTTCTGTTGATGAGAATCTCTCACTAGGGTCCTAGTTCAGGATAAAGTAGGTGAATAAAAAATGGTGGATGACATAGGAAGTGCAGCGAACTCATCTCTAGAGAGGTTTTTGTTAATGAATTCCTCGATTGTTTGAAGGCATTTTTTGCGAACTAAACTTATCGGTGGTTCTAAATGCGTTTTGTATGAGATCCATCAAGAGCGTGGTATTTGGTTAAGTCTGTAGTCTAAGCTGTCGCATCTGAAAATGTGGTAAACTCGGGTTTGGTTTTCCTCACTGGGCGTTTCACGACCCATAATTCGAAGTTCTGTTGTCACCCCTTATTTTGACTGATTTAAGATAATTAGATTAGGAAAGTAATCACCGTAACAAATATGCGGACGGGTAGGACAGGTACTCGGACGTATTCTCCTGGTGAGTATACAGGCAGTTGGATACAAACATTCTGCAATTTCATGAAAAATCTGATAAATAACAAACCGGCGGTCTGCACTTTTACTGGATGTTCACTGCAAACGTGAGATTGGTGTGTGTACGTTTTTGCCGCCAGCAATCCAAGAGATCTAGCTGTAGAAGAGAGCATCTGGTATATATATATATATATATATACTTCTCGTAGACAAATTGTTTTTGAACTCCAGTAATACCTTAACTTGTAGCCACTATATGCTTCCATGTTCAGTTAGGCGACTCTCATCACAGTCCCAGTTTACTCGAAGGAATAAACAAGGCCCTTTTCTTTCGGCAAGGTATGAGGAGGGGATGCAAAGAAATGGAAAAAGTATCTTGTCATGTTGTCACCGCAAACCACGCGATAAATATTCATCACTGAAATAGGTACTCATGACGGTGAATGGTGACGTCCGTGGTAAAATATTGGAAGAACATGAATAAACTGCTGAACTTGAAGGTCGGTCCGTCTAATGTCAGTACAATAGATCAACGGTGAAATGGGATTCGACAAGCAACTGCCAGTCGAAAAACGTCTTCACTTTCAGCATTACTGGACGAAGAAGATATAAAAGAAGAATTCAGAGTAATTCAATAATGATATACCTCATGAAACAACAGAAAAGTTTTAAAACAGTTTCGAAGAATTGTGGACTATTCAAGGTCGAGTTTAATGGATACTGCTTCGGAAACTGGCAAGGAGCTTGAATTGACAGCCTGAGCACTCGTGTCTGAAGTTGTCTTGGTGACAACTGGGCGTTCCGATTGCCGCTTTGTACACGATTTGCAAAATAGTTGTTTGCATGCGATTCGGAACTGTTTTAACGTGAGGATGAATATGAAGAAGTTGCAAACGGAGTCAATCGCAACTAGGGTGTTTCCAGCCTGGTTGATGTTGATACCTTCCTGGCTGTCTCTGATAATAACCTCTGCAACTTCTAATATTGTGGCGATACAGTTGAACAGCTCCAATAGCAAAAATACCAACACGATTGTAACCACAACACGAGTGGCACGAATTTGACTTTTTTGGCGTCTTTTCATGGCGTCTAGTTGTACGGACTGGACCGATGTAGCTCCATCCCTGGAAATGCTCTCATCGAAGAGGTGTTCGATTTCACGCCTCCAAGGTTTCAGTCGACACACGATTATTATCGTGAAAATAAATATCAGGATCCACACAATTATGCCCTGAACTGGAAAGAAGAATAATGCATCAAACATTGTTCTTGTTTGTCTGTCCATGAAAAAATGTTCTGACCACAGTGCATATTTTTTTAGTGCCTTGTCATAGCAAAGTAGACCAACCATGTCTGTGTGTTTAATGTACGCCAGGATTACGGCGGCAGCCACAACCAGGGAAAAGGCAATCATAAACTTACGACGGCTCCGGAGAACACGCTGTCGTCCTTTTGCTCCAAGGGGCCAAAGCACAACCTCTGCTCTTGCAATGGTAATCAGCAGCACACACCAGTTCCTACATAAGATGCCAACGTCTGCAAAGAAGAATATCAGATTTTGTAACACAGAAACTGTCTGGATAGTGAGTTTTGTGCTTGTGTTAGTAATCGTATGGTTTCCGATGATCGTTAATAAATCAAACAGTAATTTTGATAGGGTAAACACACACTCGCACAAACTAAGCAACAACAGACTCAGAGTAACCGAATTCTTGGGGGCTCCAGAAGCTCGACTGCTCAATATGGTCTGACTTGAGGGTTGGCTGCTTTCCTTCTTGCCAGTAGAGTCTGAAACTGTCGCTTGCGAAACAATGTTACGTAGATTGAGGAAGCATCCATTTTCACTTGCACAAAATATCATGAGTGCAAGAAGGTTGAGGATGAACCCCACGGCTGAAAATGTGATAGATCCGACGAGGCTAAGGTCCAGTGGGACAGCGTCGTTTTTCCCGTACATATTGAGGTGCTTACTGGGTGAACAGTCACCTAAATATTTCACATGGTGGTAGAATGCAAAACTGAATATCAGCGACTGGTTCGAATCGGACATTTCGAATGTTCAAATTATTGGGAATTGAGGTAAAATACAACACTGGCCTCCATGCAACAACAAAACGCTTTAATGAGGTGTGCGATGGCCTTTTCTGGCCTGCATTACCTTTACGAATAATACAATATCGAGTTGAGGAACAGACATGCGACCGAGCTTGTAATACGCTGATTCGCTGCAAGCATGTGTTCAGATGTGTGTGGGTGAATGTTTCGTACGATGCGGGTCAGTAATTTATGTGCACTATTTTAACTGGGGAATTAACCATCGTGGGAACCAAGTAACGTAATGTTCTTAGCTATGGTTAAATTGGCCACCCCAAAATGACAGCGTGTGTATGGTAGATGTCACCAGACACGGGAATATTCATGCCGAGACCCTTTGAATATTTGTGTGTATATCGATGGTCAGTCAGTGTAGGGAGGGCACCGTGCAACCATGTATCATGCAAGCGAACAATACTAAGGTTATCTTCGGCGGTCAAACGTTTGAACGCATGCATCATGGAAAAGAATTTAGGAATACAGTGGACGAATGGTGCTCACATTGATGCTCTGGTTACTCATGTGCCACACAGCAGAACAATCTCACCAACTCTGTATTTGATGAGCCCATGAAAATGCATATATATATATATATATATATTGCAAGCGAACAATACTAAGGTTATCTTCGGCGGTCAAACGTTTGAACGCATGCATCATGGAAAAGAATTTAGGAATACAGTGGACGAATGGTGCTCACATTGATGCTCTGGTTACTCATGTGCCACACAGCAGAACAATCTCACCAACTCTGTATTTGATGAGCCCATGAAAATGCATATATATATATATATACCTATAAAATATCACACAATGGAGACATACCGCAAATTTGCGTAGGTTTGGCACTTCGTAGTCTGGCACCCAACTTTCCTGGGTTTCACTGGTCGGTAAAGTTATTCTTTGCTAAAATGGTGTTTACTTCAGACAAGCGACCACGAATGTAGGTGAAGCATGCTCAGAAACGTGGGAAAATGGTTTTGGACACAGATGGATGTATTGAGACTGCAATTTTCCGGGCCTAAAGTCCTTAAAATTTGTACAATGACAGCAAGACAGGTCCATTGAATTTTGAAGTGTTCCTTAGTTCCTTCACACCTTCAAACGTTGACAACTACCTCATCTTCCAAGAAGCGGTACTCCACTTATGTTGCAGTATGTTTTGACAAGTGTATTGAAGTCTGAAACTGTTTATGCAGTCGTGGTTGATACCTCACAAGAGACAGTGAGGCAAAAGACCAGTGGGTTATTTCTGAATATGTTTATCATCAATAATGGCTCGTAGACAGGTTTTGCTGGAATCGATGTGTTTTAATTTTTGCTTACGCCCGTCTTTTATATTATTGGTAAACGCAGTCAAGCGGCAGAGCAAGCAGCAAAAATACCAGTCACATTAAGTGCTCGACAACACTGGAACACCACATTACGCTTTAAAATATTAACAGCTCTCCAGAAACTAAATGAAAGCAGGTAGATAACTGACCATGTCTTCTTGGTTGGTGCCACCTATCGTCACGAAGTCACGGACTCCATATCATGTAGTCGACTGGCTCCCAGAAAAAAGACCCCTCAGATGGAATTTTACTCGTGGTGTGACATTCTTTCCCCTAACCTACTTGCATATTATTAGTAGTACAAGGAGACCCGAGAATTTCCATTGAGTTTTTCGTGGTAAAATGAGGAATGGCGCCTTTTCATGTCTACGTGCAACTTAATTACACTTCTGATCTGTCGATTAATGTTAAAATTATTATATGTTCAATTGCTGTAGTGAAAATTCCGGATTCGAAATTCCATGGATGCACATGGATCACGACTACCACCAATAAGCGTAAACCGCTGTAGAGTGCTTCATGTTTTCCAAAATGCACTACCTTCACTTGCAGATTGAAATCGCCGACGGAGTTTACAAGCCATCTCACCAATTTGTTCACAGCATCAGTGGGCAATTAGCAGCTTTGGATTTGTCCATCACATTTTTTCAGGTTCTGCCCAACTTTAATAAAGTCCTTGGTGAATAGATTTCAGGCTGGTGGTTTTTTCTTTTCGCCAGCTGCAAACGAGTGAGGCGGCAACTATCTGCACCTCGTTCCTGGAACATGGATGTGCTTTTCTGACTCATTTGGTAGCGTGTTTTTGTCTAATATGACAAGTAAGTACTGACTGCGTTTACTAACAGCTTATAAAGGCACATCTTATAGCACGTGACATCGTCAGTTCAAATGCTCTCACAGATTTAATCGCACATTTTTCACGTGTACTCTTTATAGTTTTGTGTTACTTCGACATCGCTATTACTAGTAGCCTCAGGAAAGTTCACCCTAACTTTGAGCGAAATCTCCGCCTAGTTCATGAGCGAGTTTCCAAAATGCAGTAATCTATCTCGTCTCCCTTTGGAACTGTAAGTTGGAAAATGGAAAAATGATACTCGCCTAATTAATGCAACCCCTAGCGGTAAAGTAAAACCATAAAAAAACAAGCCCTTTTTAAAAATTATTAAAACGTTTTGTCTTCTACATTTTGTCAGATATTGAGAGTATTCAGAAAGATTCAGGCGCCACATTTGAATCAATGCTGGAGTTTAGTTTCGCAACATTAATTGCAGCTTCACGTGTTTTTGCCTATTGGGCAACAAGCATTATTCGGCCCTATCAGACTGAATAGAACCGTTAGAGACCTATATCTATCAACGTCTTATTACAATGTATTTTTGGTCACGCGCAAGCGCAGCTAAAAGCAAGATAAAGCGTCTTTGGTGAGGGGGGAAAAGGCTTGACCAAGTTATGCGAATCCGATGGCATCTACCGGTTACTTGAACTTCAATAGACTAGAACTCAAGGTGGATCTGAAGGCTAATTTTCACAGGTTTATTTGAAGTCGTGTACGTGATACGTCCCTTAGAACGTGCGGCCACTGGAACGTGCAGGGACTGTCATGGCAATCGTCACTAGCGCGAAATTTGCCAAGGCAGTTCAGAGGCAATCATCAAATGGCAGAATAATGGAACTTATCTAGTGCACAACAAACAATAGTGCAAGTTCAATAAAGATCGCAGCTAAAAGTATCTCTCCCCAAATTGCCCGCCTGAGACAAAGCATCGCAAATGACTATACGCTCGAGTGATGGCTGATTACCGCATCACACGGACAGCGCGACAATCTACGATTTCTCTGGTTATGCATTCATTTGCTTGCGAATGTTCTGCTATCCCTATGCGTCAAGCGGCTTCATAATTATCTCAAATGGCGAAGCGGTATTTTTACTCTTAGTCGAAAGAGTGCAGTAAAACCTGTTCCACTAAACACCTGACTACCGATTCAATCATTGTGTAATTCAGCGTGGTCTGCAGAGCGCTGCAGACCGAAGAACCATTCTATGGCCAGTGGTCGTACTGGATGAGGTAGCGGATATTTAGGCGTGTAATCATTCCCCATGGCAACAAAAGTCCCATGAAAGTTTTAATATACCTTGGCTCACTAATCATCGTTCTCTAACTCTCGGTGGGATGTTTCTTTGTTTTTATTGAAACGGTGATAATGAAACGCAGATTAATCTATTGTTCCTCTTTATCAATGCATGTGTCCCGGGAGACCATATTGAGAATAAAAGTCCATAAATCTGCGTTTTCAGTCACAATGAGAATCTTCATCCAGTTGGGAGATAACTAATCTTAAACACTGAATACATCAGGGATGCATTGTAATCCGTAATCAAAACTACGCTTTTTTCCAAGAATTTATGAGGCTGAGTGAAGTGAATAAGTCCAATTATTTTAGGGAATAATTGTTACGCCACCTGGTCACAAATTTCGGTGCGACGTAGAAACCATTGGTGAGTAAAAAAATTGGATGTTCTCAATGAGATGCACTCAGTGGTGGTATTAGGTATTTAGTAAAGCAGACACGTGTGCCCAATGTATTTACATGTTGCAGTAAATATTCTCGCAGATTTTACGTTAATTTTCTATTACTTGTACGCCCAATTTTTCAGACTTCACCTAAAAATTGATTCGCCAACCTCACCAACCTAATAAATCATGTTAGTCGATGCTTGCTTGTTTCAACAAAAAAAACCGCTAAACTGACCCACTGTGAAGCGTCCACTTTTTGTTCGGTCGTAAAGTAAGAGGTACCTTTTTATTTTTTTGTTATCATTGCGAGATTTGTGCTCATCCATGTAACAATATGCTTACATAATATTAAGTAATGGGGAACAGTTCGGTCGTAAGTAAGAGGTACCTTTTTATTTTTTTTGTTATCATGCGAGATTTGTGCTCATCCATGTAACAATATGCTTACATAATATTAAGTAATGGGGAACAAACGAGCATTAATTAAAGAGCTGTTTTGGATCAGTCGACCTGACATGTGGTGGTGTTCGGTTATCAGAGAAAGGATTCATTAACAGAGACAGCTTGTATCTGAAGTGCAACCAATCTCACCCACCTACCCCCACAGCTAAATTGTCATAGAACACATAGATCACGCAGTCCAACGAAATCTGCCAGTGGCACCCGAGGTGAATCATCAATCGAAGCACGGTGAAGTGTAAGGTTAAGGACCCAAACTCGATAAAAATATCTTCAACTTATCCGAACCCATCCACCGTAAGATTAAGGCAATCACACTAATCAACTAGTCTCTTTTAGTTACATTCAATCCCTACCTACTGTGCTGACCTGAAGACGACTCACCGATTTGTCCTGTCTGCCTTAAAGTTCAACCAACTAAGTGACCTGGTCACCTGAGCTGAGGAAGCTTTGGTGTCAACAGCGTGACTTTGTCCAGTTAAAGACCACCGATTGTTTACCAAGTTTTCTGAAAGGAAGACTACCCAATCAGCTTCAAACTCCCTCCAAATTACTAATTTGCTTACTTCAAAGCCATCTTCATTCGCACCAACTTCCTCGCTTCCATTCTATTTCAATCCGAAGGCTGATGATTTCTTGATAGTCCA